GGTGTTTGTACCCTGCCGGCAGGCTCCTGGGCCTGATCCGCCGGTCTGTTGTAGGTCTGCCTACCTTGAAGGCGCGGGCGGCGGATCTGCCCTGCCCCTCCTACCACGCCTGCGGACCCCTGGGCCTGATCTGCAGGTAGATCACTGGTCTGCTCACCCTGCGGGCACGGGTGGCGGTTCCGCTCCACCCCCACTCCAATTGGGGTCACGTGACCACCACACCGGCAGGGCCTGATCCGGGCGTGGGATAAGGATCTGCTCTGCCCCTACTCGAGTTGGGGTGACGTGTGTACCACACTGGCAGGCCACTGGGCCTGACCCGCCAGGCTGTCACAGGTCTGTTTACCTTGCAAGCGCGAAGGGCGGCTCTGCCCTGCCCCTCCTACCACGCCCATGTACTACTGGGTCGTGGGTCTGCCCACCTGGCGGGTGTGGGTGGCGGCTCCGCTCCGCCCCCTCTCCAATTGGGGTCACGCAGTCACCACGCTGGCGAGCCGCTGGGCCTGCTCCGGGGGCTGGCGGCGGCCCGGCTCCTTCCCTCTGGCTCGAGGACAAATTGAGGAGACTCGGGTGACTGAGCCTCACCCCCCTTACCAGGAGACCAACTGCTTATGTCACCGCTGGTATTGATGAAGATCTCTCCTCCACCGCTTTCTGCTGACATCAGATCTCTGCCATGTTGGTATCCTATGCGAATGGCAGCATTTCGTTCCCCTTGCCAGGCAACCCAAGCAATGGGTGAGTCCTGACCTGCCCTCAGCAGGACCCGGACCGAGACACAGTTTCCGCGGGCTCCTAGCCCCGGTCCAGGGAAGTTCCGGGAGCCGGAACTCGGCCGCTCCGTGCTCGGTGTAAGCTCCTATAAGTGTAAGCTCCAAGAAGCAGTCCCCGCGGGCTCAGTTCCGGGAGCTGGAATTCGGCTTCTTGGTGTTTCGTGTTTGCTCTGATATTAGCAGGGTCCAAGAAGCAGCCTCCGCGGGCTCCGCAGCCCGGAGCCAGGGCGGTTCCGGGACGGTTCCGGGAGCCGGGACTCGGCCGCCCCGCGCTCCGTGTTCACTCCGATAAGATCAGATTTTAAGAAGCCCCCAGGCGCTGAACCCTAGCAATCTGTCTGCAAGCCGCAGGCGAATTGCAGCCTGAAATTACCTGTTCTATGGCTGAATGAGCTGCGGTCAGTCAAAAACAGGTGTGGTGACGTCAGTTTACCAACATGGTGGCTGCTGGCCTCCTCTGTGGTCTGACCGGTGTGGAGAACCGAGATGGACCGCTTCCTTCCCCGTCTCGAACCCAGAATTCAGCCCTGAGTGCGGTGCTTGCGCGTCTGGCAGAAACTGCAGCGCTGTAACCCTGCGTCTCTATCCCAGCGCGCCTTGCAGACTCTAGCCGCGGGGCGATTTGCTGAATAAGCAGTTTTACCCTCCGTGCGACAAACCTCTCGCGTTTGAGTCCCCGTAGCCGATCCTCGTGCGATGGAAATCCTTCCTCCAGGTTCCGGCGCACCCCACTATTGCTGGAAATTCCTAACAAGATATCCTTTAGCCGTCCTGACTTGTCATACTCCCACACAGTGAAGCAGCACACGGGGGTAATGCACTCCCCTCGCCGCCATCTTCCCTCCTCTCCTCTTGTATATTGTTATTACAAGATTTTAATAATAGGCTATTGCTCTTTTCATTACTGATGATTATTAGTTAATAGGACCTAATATAGTAGTTTGATCCTAGCAGACTTTCTTTCAACATTTGTAATTGTATTGGGGCTGAAAAAATAGCACCCAAAATACTGGTGCTTTCAGACATGCCTCTTATTTAAGGTCCCCTCTGATCTTTCCTTGTTTTTCTACCTCCTTGCACAGGGAGAGGCATTTTTGGAAATTTCTCATATCTATCCAATCAGATGTCCCCAAAGAAAAAAACAATTGCTTTATATTTTCTTCCTGAAATTGTACTAACGAGAGAAGGCAAAACTCTGGTTGCAACAAGGTAGATTCAAAGCAAAACATCATGCCTAGATCTTAGAAGAACTTTGTCCTGGTCCCATATGTCTGCCCACAAAATAATTTATTAGCCCTCTGGAATTACCTGGATTGCCTATATCCCTACTCTCCTTTCCTCTGTAAGGAGAATGGTTAAGCCTCAACTTTCTCACTTTTGCAACTCCCACTCTGTGTATGGATCTCATGTTCTGGTACATTAAAATATTTGTATGTTTTTTTCCTGCTAATCTGTCTTTTCCAGTTTATTTCATGTAGTGAAATTATAAAACATTCAAGGAGGAAGTTAGAACTACAACTGGAACATAGTCATAGATTATATTTCATCATAGAAAGAACTAAAATTATGTACATGTACAAATTATTGCACATAGTCACGTGTTATGTAAAAGTGGATCTAAGTCTGAGAAGCACACTATCAGGTGATTTTTATCATTATGGGAAGCTCATGTGGTACTCACATAAGCTGATATGATTATGAAGACACCAGGTGACAAAGTATTTTGTCAAAGAGTAAAGTGCCATTATTCAGCGCAAGACTGTATATGTTAAAAGAAATATGTAGCTTCATAATCAACATAAAGATGTAGATCTTACTTTAATAAAGGCAAATATGAAAAGTGAGGAAAAATGAAAGTAAAAATTGTCTAGATCATACACACTTTTTCTGGTGAAATGTTTTTAAAAGCAGAATAATGGTAATCAGAGGCTGACTATATGTATACTAAATAATGTCTTGTTATGTGTATATTTTTCTGCTAAATTGTATATTTTATATTTGTCCCTAAAGCATTTTATGTAAGTTTCTTCCTTCATTTTTGCTTCTCACTAGACTTCTAAATCCCAGGTATTTTTTTAATTGCAACATTTTGTTTTCAAGAGCAGAAGTTTCTTAATAAATCATTTATTGAAAACGGATTTATATTAGATACTCAAGGTGCTTTTAAAATGATATCATGTGTTCATTCTTCTTTATGTTTTTACAGAGAAGAAACCTCCTGACATCCACAATGCAATAGTCTGCCTTGATCTCATGTGCATCAATATCAGGTTTTCATTCTTATTCCTTATTAGTAGTCAAGAGAAAACAAAAATATGGAAATAATATATTCCATATATCTTTGACTCTAATATAATTTCCAGCAATGACGTACGCTAGAGAGAGCTTTAAACTTATTATTACGAGTTCTAAGTTACACATTAATAGCTTTACTTTTAATGAATTAATTAAATAGCTCTTGATATTTCATAAAATGTCTAGATTTCCTCATGGACAAAGTGACAGTTACATATTTGGAGTATCTTATAGTTCCATGTTCCTGCCGATCTTGCCTGTGTGCAGAAGACACATGGATACTGTACTGAGCAGCTTAGGAACTCTACTCCCAACTGGGGACAGAGTCACCAAAGGCTCATTGCAAGAGGAAGAGAACCTGCTGCCATGGAAATGAGGGTACACAGGTCACAATAGAATCTGATCGGTATCCCAAATCAACATGTCAAAGCAATGTTATTTAAAAGGAGACCTAGGAAAACTTATGTCAGTCTCTGAAGTCCAACATATATAATTTGTTATAATAGTATTATCTACTATCCATTTCAATCACATAAATTTTGTATGGGTCCCACATGTGTCTTATTCACACCAATATCCATTCAGATTAAATGAGTGCTTTGCTACTCAAAAGAAGATAATATTTGATGAAAACAGAACATTTTCTACATTCGAAATTAAGACTATGCAATTAAAATTAGATATGACATAATTTAAATTTAAGCTTATACTATCCCACAAAGCCTATAAAATGTTAACTAAATTAAGAAAAATGTATGAACTAATAGGTGCTGAGTTTAAGACATGAATAAGTTATTATATATTTTGACCTTAATAGTATTTAGTGTAGCATGTGAGAAAGATTTGTAAACAAATATGTGCTAGCATACACATATTTAAAAAGTATACGTAAATGTTTAAAAATGAAAGAAGCATAAAAATTAAAAGATAAAAGTACTTTACTTGTTTTCTAAAATAATTTTACTTACATTTTTAACTCAACACTAATGCTTACAAAATTTTAAATACATTTTTGCAATCAGTTTAGAGAAAAAAATAAGCAACTATTTATCGCCGATTCCTGAGAGAAATTTAAGTACATTACATTTCACTAAAAGGAAAATCTTCACAAATGTTAAAGACTAAAATTTATGATTTCTTTGGCTTGATTTTAACACTACCACAGGTAATCTAGTTATGGCTGGTTTTTGGTTGAGTCACACAAAATAAAAATACTTTAAAATTTGAAAGCAAATGCAAATTTTTTTTCCTAAAAATATTTTAATTTTACCTGAAGACTGAAAAAAACAAAAACAAAAACCTTCAATTGTTTGAATGACTCAGGCTTCGTGAAAAAAGATAGCCTTTTTTCTTAAGACAGAAAGGTTACGTTCCCTGGGGCTCCCATCCAAACACTATGGAACTGTACACTTGAGTGGTCTTTAATATCCTTGAAAGAGTAATGCATCACTTTCACTCATGCCAGAGTGTGATGGCAGCTTTGCAGAGAAACTGAATTGTTATATATTAATACTTAAATAATACTGAAATACTTAAGTAACATTAGAATCAAAACTTGTAGGATTTTAGTGCCTCCCCACCTCAAAAAAAAAAAAAAACCCTTAATTGCCTTCCAATTTATAACCATGTATGTGAAAAGAATTTCTTCCAGCAGCTCCTCTCACCATACAGTATTTAGTTGATGGAAAGGAGCAATTCAGTTACTAAATATGCTCTGATCTTCCTAAAGAGTTAAAATTCAGGGCTTCCCCAGGCATACTTTGGTTTTCTAACTTTACTGAAAGAAAATGTACTCTGGATGTAAAAGGTGTCTATCACTCACTCATCCTCTGCCTAAAGCAGTGTTCCACCCACAAAAAGTGGGGCCCAAGTCTGTCCTGCTTATATAATGTGTTTTCCTCATGCAAAAAGGCAGAAGGCTATTGCACCTACCTCCTCACAGGCGGTTCTGAAATCCATGTGCTATGGCACCGCAAAGGATGTGATCTGGAAAGAGAGAAATCATAAGCCATTAAGCAGAGCATTGAGTGTCAGAGAAGAGAACATTGGTAAAGTGTAAGAAGTGGTGAAGCCGATACCATAGGAAAACTGCCTTTGCAACTACTGGCACGAGGGAAGGAAGGAGATGAAAAGGTCTTCATGCCCAGCTTTTGTGAAATATGTATACACTGAAACTGTTTGTGTGATGGAGAATCTGTATTTCCACGCATCTCTACACCCTACCAGGCATTCAGACATGATCTACAACAGAACTAACCTCTTTTCTCAAGGGTTAGCTCATTGCCACCATTCATTTTGAAACCTGAGTTTGCAGGTGGGAAAGAAACTTCAAAAAGGAGTAATTAGATGTTGCTTTTCATCTGGTTATCTCTCAAAAAAAGGTTGACTGATCTTTCTCTTTTTAATTAAAAAGCTACATGCATGAATAATTCTCCCTGGAACTTAAAATTTTATTCATAAACAGTATGATTCAAGGAAGCTCTGTATCAGAGTGCATAATATTAATATAAATCAATGTATGAAATATATAATACAGATTTTCATTTAAGGGTCAATGTAATACCTGCATAATGGATGTAGATTTAAATCATATGAAGGTTTTTTAAAAGTTCTTTTAAAGAGTTTTGTTTCATTTTATGATTTTAAAAAAAGTAGATGTCACACAAAATTGATACCCATCTACTATGACAGGAAACAATGCATAGTCAAACTGTATTCATTGAGTAAATGAGACTTCAAAGTACAATTTCAAGATACTGCTCCAAATTACTCTCAGTTTTAAAACAATAAACCATTTTATCCTTCTTTTTACATTTTGTTGTTGATAAGTTTGAGAATGCTCAACTCAAGTGAGTGGGGTAAAATAGAGAGGAAAGTGTCACCCACACTGGCACTGAATTAAGGGATCATTTTTCTTTTTTTTTTTTTTTTAAAGAAAAGATCGGTTATATTTTGTAGAAACCAAACATGTTATTTAATATTTGAAATACTTTCCCTGGATAAATCTTGTGGATTGTGAGCTTGTCTTTATTTTACTGAAATGTATAAGTGACTGATTAAAATAAAGTTGGTTAATGATAAATCATTTGCAAATAAAAATGCAATTTTATGAAAAATTAATCATTTGATGATACAAATTACTTAACATTTTAGTGTTCATGTGCATTTTGTTAATATTTAATAAGTTGTTATTATTGAAGACTACTTTTGAAGAACCCGTAAATATCTGCCTATTTCTAACCTAGATAAAAAGTTATCCCTTTACTGTAAATGTAGGAAAAAGTTAGTATTTATTCCTTATATAAAAGTAGGAAGTGTCCGGGTTGGTGTTGTGGTTCAGTAGAGCACTTGCCTGGCACGTGTAAGGTACTGGGTTCGATTCTCAGTACCACATAAAAATGATAAAAGTATTGTGTCCATTGACAATTAAAAAAATATTTTTAAAAAAGTTGGAAGTGTACAAACATTTTCCTGCTACCAATTGTAGACTACAGAATTTTATAAAATATTAGCTAACTATCTAAACTCAACCTCATAATTAGTTTCATATGCCAAATTTTATTTTGGTATATACATTTTAAGATGGCATTATTCCTTAATAAAATGGCATATTTGTGCAGGGGCTGTATCTTTTCCTTTACTATTTTAGCCTATCTTCCTATTTTTTAAATTCTAATTTTCCATCCTCTTTCAAGAAAACATTACATAATATTAGTTGTTTATTCAGAAAAGGGGCTATTAAGGGATTCAGAATATTTTAATTATTAGGTAACAACATTTTATAGCACTCATAAAACTATTTCTAGCATATATAAATTATAAAATGAATATCACACTTAAAATGTGTATCTTTTAGCATAAGCATGCATACTAGAAAGGTTTTAGATTTATTAAAAAAATGTGAAAGTACCTGAGTTTCTATAAGCCCCACAACCATTTTTCTTTAGTGTTGAGATTTATAATATTATGACTATGGTGTGCAACTAATGCAACATTATTAATACATTGCTAATACCTAAAGGCTAATCTTCTTTCATAGTTCCTTTATTTTCCTTTTGTTCTTTTTCTGCTACTAGGTCGGTAGCACATAAGGTATCAGATTTTATTTAGTTATCCTGTCTTCTCAGGATCTGCTTGACTGTCACCATTTCTTTGAATTCCTTTGTTTTTAAAGATTGGGACATTGAGGAGTTCTGGTCAGGGATTTGTAAATGTTCTTCCACTGGAAGTATTCTGCATTTTTGTTTTCATAATTAAACTAGAATTATGGTTTAGAGGATAAAAAAAATGAAGTGATAAAATGGGCATTTTCATTCCAAATATGTCCAAGGATAAATTCTATCAATGCGACAACATTATTAGTGTTTATCAGAGGTAGTGTTGGTCAGATTTTTCCATTGTTGTTTCTCTTTTTTCCTTTCTTCACCCTGGGCTCAATCAACATTAGTAGACCTCACATAATGGGTGGGTTTTTATGCTTCCCATCTTTTAAGATAGAGTATCTACTTGACTCATTTGGAATTATTCTGCACAAGAGATATATTCATTCTCCCACATTTATTGATTAATTCAAACATTCCTCTAAGAATTCTCAATTGATGGAGCAAGGAAATATATATGTGCCAATACATGATATTACTATCTATAAATATTTCTGTATATGATCTGAATTTTATTAAATGAATTTGGATTTCATAGTGATATTCCTCTTGTAAACATAAGAGCATGCTATTCTCCTCTCCTTTCTTATTTGTACATTTCTATTCCAACAATGTGAAATTTATCTCCCAGTTCCCTGTCATTCATGTAATTTATTGTGTATTTGCAGTATACATGATAGCTATATCAGCATTGCTAACTCATAGCAATATGGGAAACAACAACAATACATCAACTACAATAAAGCTTATTATTCATTTAATAGTATAGAATACACTCTATCAAAATTGCTTATATTGGGTGAGGCATGTGACTTAGTGGTAGAACACTTGCCTAGTATGTATGAGGGCCTGGATTGACCCTCAATCTCCCTTTACACACGCACACAACACACACACACACAGTGCAAAATTATTTATGTCAACCCCAGTGATAAATGAGTAGAAGTGACCACATACTAGTTTGCTAGTTTCTTTAGAGATCTCATATGTTCCCTCCTGCTCTCTTATACTTCTGCCCTTGCAAGAGATGGTCTTCCTCAAGGAGCTGCTGCCCATTTGGCCTGGCCTCAGAATTACATATATGGAACAAAAGTTCTTTAGATGACCCACAAGAATTAGGGGTAAAACAGAACCAACCCACATCCATACCTTAAACAGAGATGCCATAGTCAAACTGCAAATCCATGAGTAAAAATAATGCTTAGTATTTGTGGTGATTAGCTTTCTATGCCAACTTGGCTCAGCTATGGTGTCCAGTGGTTCAATCAAGCACTGATCTAGTTGGTACTGTGAAAGTATTTTGTAGAAATTAATATCTTCATTCAGCTTACCTTATGTAAAGGAGATTATTCTCAACAATGTAGATGGGCCTCATTGAATTCATAAAAAAAAACCTTAATAATAAACACAGAGGTTTCTCTAAGAAGAAATTCTGTCTCAAGATTGCACCATCATCTTCTGCCTAAGAATTTCCAGCTTTCTGAGCTGATGAAAGATTTTGAAATTGCTAGCCCTGATAATCATTTTAGCCACATATACACCAGTTCAGTTTCTCTGAAGACCTCTAGAGAAATACAGACACAGACTGATACAGATTTTGCTACCAAGGATGGTTCTAAAGAAACAGAATCCTAAAGATTATGAATTGGTTTGGGGGGTTTCCAGAATTGATTTGATAATCTGATTAGATTTAAAGGCACTAAAGACTATTTCCAAATTAATGAGAACATTGGTAACCCATGACATGCAGAGACAACAGAGATGCACAACATATCACTGTTGGATGCTCTTAATCACACACCTCTGCAAGGCAAGTTTCTTGGTGACCATAACTTAGGACATTTTTGTCAGACAGGATAATGAGTTTGGCTGCCTGCTTTTAATTATGCCTGAGAGGGGAACAAGGATGAGCTAAGTATTTAAAAGCCTAAGTTAAACATAACATGGACATTTCTATGCCTGTTATAAATAAAAGCTATCTCCTACAGCTACCAGACTCGGATTTCTGAACATTAAATACAAAGTGTGATCCTTCTAGGGGTTAAATTATATCACAAATAAATCTCTAAACTCACAGGGTATCTTCCGTGAAAGTAAGGCATTAATTAGGAACAAATAGATGCTAAACATCAGAATGGAGATGTGTAAGAAGATTGGAATAAAGATGGGGCCAGGGAATCTGTAAATTCCTCTGAGTCTTCCTTATCATTAGAGTTAAGGCCTCACTGATGTACACATCCAAAAACACAATGCTCCATGTCCCGAGGATCCAACTACACCACCCATCTTTGCTTCTATACCTGAAAATAGAGTCCTGTCCCAACAGGTCCCACAAGGAGAGGTACAAAGTGTGCCCCATGAGAAAGTGTACTAAACTCCAAAATAATTGCATAATTTTTTAAAATTTACATAGAATTCTAGGGAACATGTTTGAGAGTGAATATCAATGATGTAGGATAATGGAGGAAGGAAAATACATTTTTATAAGGTCAATAATATAGCTCCACTAAGTGGAAATTCAGGATTTAATATTATGGTTTTAGAAAGAGCTTTCACAATTTGCTTAGTCATTTGGCTTAAACATGGACCCCAAAATGGCCTACACTAAATGATATCAAAATGTCAAAATAGCTTTGAAATATTGCAGAAAAAGAAATACAAAGACTTAAGAGAACTGAAATATAAGAGGAGACAAATCTGTTCACTTGTTTTGAAATGGTCAGAAAAATTCACCTTCTAATATGACTGTGAGGAATAAATTCATTAAGGGAGCTCACCACTATTGAGGAGTTCTGTGGTCACTCTTTGTAGGGCAGAAATAAGTGA